TTCTACGATAAATGCGATAAAGATAAAGATTGATAATCTTGAATCTAGCACCTATACCGATAAGATAGAGCGATAGCTGAACCCGCTAGACCCATCCACAAATTTCAACCATGCTACACGGCTCCGATATAAAGGGACCGGTGCGTGGCTCTTGGATTATCCCGTTTTTCAGTCATGGTCCTCGGGGTCTCGTCGGCATCTATGGCCTATATGGCTTATTAGGATATGGTAAGATAGTTCTTAGCACGACGGTGCTGGACTATATTACTAAAGAGAAAGATCGGCTCCTCATTAGATTCTTCTTCGACTTCAGCGATAAGCCTAAGCAGACCATCGATAGCATGCTCCGGTCGCTTGCCTTTTAGCTCTATTGAAGTGAGGCAAGAGCGTCGGTTCTCGACGCGTCATTCTAGATATACTAAGATAGCCGCTAATAGCCTGCTATAAAGATACTGAAGGACGTTGTGATTAAGATGCTCAGAGTGTAGAAAAAGGTCTCTATTGTTCTTAACGCCTTGGACGAGTCGACGACGAGCAGTGACCTTCTCTTATAGATTAAGGATATCGCTTCTAGATTAGACCTAGGTTACGTCCAGCTAATATGCATAAGTCGGCCTGAAGCCGAGTTTATGCGGGAGATCCTCGACGAGATAGGCAGCGATAATAAGCTACCGTTAGATAAATAAGCCGTAAACGGCGATATTAATTCCTACGTCTCGACTAAGCTCACCCTTCAACGGAAATTCCAAGATATGCGGTTATCGGGTGATCTTCTCAGTCGGATACGGAGCAAAGTTGGCGGCGGCGGAGCCGATAGCATGTACGTATCTACTTTGACCTATATCTGGAATAATCACTGACCCCCTCGATAGGTTTATATGGGCAGCCTGTCAGTTGAACAGTCTTGCGAGCTCTCGAAGTCCTAAGGCACTCAAAGACGCGCTCGATTATTTGCCCCGTGATCTAAAAGAAACGTACGAACGCATGCTATACGGTATTCCGGAAGAAGATAGAAATAGCGCCATCCGCCTTTTGCAGTTTCTGGTCTATTCTTCCCGGCCCCTGACGGTAACGGAGGCAGTAGATATCTTGGCGACGAATACGGAAGCGGCGCTACCATGTTTTACTATCGAGGGTCGGGTTTTCCGGGACGATTATGTCCTCTAGTCCGTACCCGCCGTGACCTCCATTGTGGAGGTCACGGACTCCTGCGGCAACATAAGGAGGGAACTACACTTTGCCCATTTCTCTGTCAAAGAGTTCCTTCTAAACCGAGCCGAGTTCGATCGACTGACGGCCAGCGTTAGCATAATAAAGACGTGTCTGACTTATCTCACAGACATCACGGGCGACGACGAATACGTTGATCATCTCTTTCATTTTGCTACATTAGCTGCAATAATGTGAATAGAGCATGGTGCTTTGGCCGAGAGTTCTGATGATATATTCTCAGCAATTTTAAGGCTTTTGAATGACGATAAGACTTTTGGTCGTTGGATTCGCTTATTTACGGACTTTAAATGGACACGTTTGCTCGAGACGTCAGGAGAAACGAGACTCTACTACCCTTGTCATTACGGACTCCTCAGGGTGGCACAAGAGTTGATTAATGAAGGGGCGGACGTCAACTCAAAGGGAATTCATGACATGGGACTCCTACAGGCCACCTCAGCCCGAGGTCATGTTGAGGTTATACGGTTCCTCTTAGAGAAGGGGGCAGATATTAATGCCCAGGGCAGCGCTTACGGTAATGCCCTACGGGCCGCCTTAGCCCAAGGTCATGACGGCGCTACACCCATCCTACTACAGCACATAGCTCACCGATCCTCTCGCAAACGGCTCGCTTCTACCCTTCTAGTAGAGACACCGAATAAGCTATTACGGCGAAAGTCTTCTACCCATTCGATGTCTTAAATCCACAAGTATATTCTCTCCACGAACATCCCTCTGGAACAACTAGCAGTGGCTAATTACTATGACAAGTATATCCGCTATCTTAAGAGAATAAAAACGCCTTTCAGTCGACTTGATCGCTTCCAAGTCCGTAAAGAAGTCACGAGGTTTTGAATTTAATGTAGTTACTAATCTTTGTATCCCTGGCTACGACTATGCTGGCGCGCAAGAATTGGCATGATGGACGATTCTAGGGGGCAAGTGGCTGGTCTGATTCCACTCCGATTGCCAGGAGGCTCGAGAATCACATGTCGTCAAGCCATACCCAGGTAGATGTCGAAATAAATCCCATGCCTCCATCTCAGCAAGCCCACATCTGCCCCCAATGTCGGCGTCAATCGCACCTTTTCAGAAAGAGTCGAAGAATTTGGTAGCCGGACGACTTCAGACCCGGCTATATTATGTTTGAAAAGGTGAGCACAAGAAACGCTTCGCAGTCCGCTGCTACCTGACAAGTACCAGCTGGGCAAGCTGAGTTTTTTTGGCAGCGGCGTTGGCGGAACTCGACGAAGTACGCCCTTGGAAAGAGTTTGCATCTAGTCGCGTAGGCAAGATTATAGTGCGACATAAGTGCGCCGTATTGCCTTCGGTGGGTATATTTTTGTTTTCATATGCGTGGTTGGCAATGTTCCTCGGTGGTGATTGAACGGCGAAGTGTACAGTCGGTATGACAGGCTAGATTTTCTGTGATGAGGTATATCGCATCGTGCCTGTCTACTCTGTAAGAACGAAGCTAGTCTTGGGTTCTTCCTTAAACTTGACATATACTCTCCTGCGCGTTATTCCGAAGTGATGCAGTTACGCGCTTGATGGTGGGGTTTATGTCGCATGCTTGGTATGAGGGATATACACCACCATATAGGGGCTAATCGATTGAAATGTAGTGAACAACCAAAATGGATAGAACGTTTCGGCATCCGTTTCGTTCATTTTGCATCATCACCAGCAAGATCTTCAAAACGACTTTTGGCGTGGCTTAGATAGAAGAGACTCTTGTCACGCTCAAGTCCCGTGATTTCATTCCTGGAGAACCTTGATGGCCGGTAGATAAGCGCCCATTGAGAGAACCCTGATGGGCAACCTTGATGGCTCGATGGTTGGGCCTTCATCAGTAAAACCAGTGACGAGTAGCCAGCTTTCGGGGGCGGTCAGCAGCTCTCCAGTGTTCTCGACGCTTCTGGCTGCCTTCATTTCGGGCTCGACCGCGATAACCACCAGTGTTCGGAATGAGGCCATGCTGTCCTATTGAGAGGGGACGCATTCACCAAGGGGGCTATAAAATGGAGGTCGTCGACAACCACCATCGCGCAGGCATGGTCTTGACCTCCTTCTCTCTGCCCATGGTGTTTCTTGCCCTTCCCTCAGAAGTTCAATCCCGCGCGGGATGATGCTACCTCGTCGGTTGTCGCTAGTTAAGGGACTTGACAGAGTTAACGGCAGTCAGCGGCAGTTCCAACACCACATCCCACGAGATACCACGCTCAACTGAGGGATCAATAGGTTGACAAGGAGAACGCGATGATTCTCTTAGCCAAGTGGCGCGTTGACGAGCACACAGTGTCCTTTCTATTGAGCTGCTTCACAACTCGAAACATCCTTCCCTTTCTCTTGTTACTTCCTCGTCATCCATTTTCACGTCCTACATTTCCTGACTTCATACACAATCTTCTCCCCCTGACACATCAAAGCCCTCGAGTCACAACATCTCGTAAGGCTTTGTTGTCTTCTCTTCCGAGTTTCTTTCCGACCAGAGCTCCCATTCGCTATGGTCACAGTCTACCCCATGGCTCATGCTTCACCGAGGCATGACCCCCAACAACTAGCGTTGCCTGAGTCGGGCACTCGGGTCAGCTGAGGGCTTCGGAGTGGGATGTGAATATCTTTCTCACCCGCGCCAACCGCCTTTCACGTCCACACGCATACGTGCCTTGCCTATCATCCTGCCGCGTGCCCATGCGCGCATCACAGGCTATGCCGTCTCCTCCAACAGCCTGTTGGACTCAGCCCCTCCCTTTAGGCCTCCTCCATGCAGGTCATGCATGCATGCCTCATTTGGAACCATGCCTGCCTGCCAACTCACACCTCACTCCATCAAGGAGCTCAGCACATCCCCATCACAGCGTCACGGCAGCTCGCGCACTACCATTCACGGACACAGCTTATGCCCCCGTCCCCACGCGGTTCGCCCGAGCTGTTACCGAGGTGTGGACTGAGCTCCCACGTCGCATGGTCCCACTCATGACGATCTCTCATTCACCCACGCCATTCATGGAAGACAAGGCCACGCCCTTGCCTGTATCGCATGTTTCGCGTGGGCTGCCGTGTGGCCAAGCCTGCTCACATGGTTGGCCTTCCATGTCTCGGCGCCAATCACGAGCCTTGGTCTCGCCTAGGGTGCTGTCCCGATATGGGTGTCCTGCATGTGCTTCCACTCCAAGGGGAGACGCCGCAAACCCCGCTCGAGACGTCGCGAGGTTGTCGAATCATGAGCCGCCACTTATCGATAGCTTCCGAGATTGCGGATGTCTGTTGCGGGCGACACGCGTGTGGTCGTGAAGCTCCAACACTGATCGCGTTTCTCTCTGTGTCGTTGTACTCCTGCCTGATGAACTTGGCCCCAGTCACATGGGGGTCATCTCGAGCATCCTTCAGGTATAAAAGGGGCGCCGAACGTGGTCCTCTTTTGGGATATTCATCTCACCAGCACCCAACCCTCCAGAAAATCAAACACAACACACACCAAGCTTCTTCCAGTTCTTCGAACACCAACAATCACAATGGCTCCCTGGTGAGTTGCCCCAGAGCAGCCCGCAAATCGGTGCTCTCCGACTGACAGCGACCAGCTCTTGCTCCTCTTGCGCCACCAACTGCGCCGGCTCTTGCTCGTCGTGCGCCTGCAGCTCGTGCGACGTATGTTTCTGACGGCCTCAGTCCTCTTGCTTGATCTAACAGCTCCCAGCACTAAGCAATCATGGACACGACGCTCTGACACCATCGGCCTTCTCCGACAAAATCCAGTTTTTTCCTGCCAAAGCTCCTGCCAGTCATCTGAGAGGCTCGCAATCAACACCGACGGGAAAGATAACATGTTCAAGGTGGGCCAAAGTTACCTTGCCGCATGCTCCAAGGGGGAGGAACCGCGGCGGTGCCGAGCCAGCCTCGCACGCAAACTGCATTGATAGATTGGTCTTTTTTGACGCTATGTACATGCAATGAAACAATAACACAGTGGTTCCAAGCTCCCTGCGCTTCAAACTCATCAAGTGAAATCCAAATCGTCGCCCTGCCCGTCTGCCTGACCGAGAAACCGACCCTCGCAAGCTCATGCCACGTCCATAATGTGTGCGACCCAACCGTCGTCCCACCAAGCCATTCGTGGAGAGAAATGTGGCGTTAAAGCCCCCCCGACTCGCCCGTCACAAATTACGAAATGCGATCAAAGTTTCTCAGACCGAGTCGCCGCCCCCCGACCCGATGGAGGTGGGGGGCAGAAGGGAGAAGGCAAGGGGCCAGCAGCGGAGGAGCGGTGACTGATCCGAGGCGGCGGGCCGCAGGCAGCACTTGTCGTGGCCCGCCGGCCGGGCGTTGGGTGGCATTGCATGCAGCGTATGGAGGGGGCCAGGGGAGGGGGGCGTTGTGGCGGGCTGCGGTGGTTGGCGAGCGAGACACGGCGTTGGTCCGGTCCTGTGGGGCCGAGTTCCCGCTGAAGGGGGGGGGGTCTCAGCCGATGCGGGCGGATGCGGGACGGTGAAGAGCTGGGTGTGCGCGCAGCGCGCAAGCTGGATGGACTTTGGTTTGTTATCGTACAGAGAGGGAAGGGGCTTGATGGGCGGATTTGGCTTCGTCTGCGATGATGAGAGGAGCGTCGTGCAGGGCCTTGCTGGTCTGTCCGAGGATTCGGTCTGCTGACCCCTCACTGTGAGGCTGGGTGTATGCACCTCCAGCCGCTTGTGAGCTAGTGCCGCTTCTTGTTGATCTGCCTACCAGATCACAGAGCCTGTTTCCGCCAACTGCGGCTTTGGCGTACAAGTTTCTTCGCGTGAGCATGACAGGAGGCTTCAACTTCGAAAGAATTCACCTGGAACATCACGCATTTTGGGACGAGTGCAGTGACGAGTCTATTGTCCTTACTCTAGACCGTGCATCGTTACAAAAAAGCAAACATAAAATCAAGTTGAAAACGCCTCGCTTCTTTTCCCATGACAAGGACCAAGAAAAAAAAAACCCTAGACGGTGAGGACCGTCGGCACCCCCTTCCTCCACATCAGCTTCCCGCCGTGCTTGCTCTCGAAATGCCTCGACACGTTGTCGCGCCGGCCGCGGTGCGCGCAGCCCTCAAAGGGACACTGGCGCGTCTCGGAGCGGACGTTGTCGCGGGCGGCGACGTCCTTGTGGCGGACCTGCAGGTGGCGCTCGAGGTCGCGCACCTGGGCGAACTTGGGCGCGCTCGGGCAGTGCGGGCAGGTGAGAGACTTCTTGTGGACGCGCTGGTGCTGCCTGGAACGAATGGTCAGCGGGATTCGCACGAGAGGGGGGGCTGGTGTGCAGGGGCGGCACGCAAAGGGGAGAGATGGGACTACATACTTGAGTTGACTTTCTTTCTTGAATGTCTTGAAGCAGCCGTCGGCCGTGCAGGCGTACGCGTGACCTGAAGTGTCCGACTCGGTGGTAGAGTCGGGCGACGTCGTAAAGGGGGAAGCCGAGTTGGCGGAGTGGGTGAAGGGTGAGTTCGTGTACGGCGATGCATCGCCGATGCTGAGAGGGGCGAAGAATGACCCGGCAGCGGGGAGATCAAAGTCAAAGGACGGGTGGCCGAGTGCCTGGCTGTCGTCGACGATCGGGAAGAGGAGGGGGTCGTTAAAGTCAGGGGTAGGAACGACGGGTGTGTTGAAGTCGAAAGCACACAGGTCGCCCATGTTGCCGTTCGAGGGAAACACCTCCAGTCCGTAGCCCTTGGCCAGCTCCTTTTCGATGAAAGCGTCAAAATGAATGTCGTCGCTGAAGTCGCCCTCCAGGATCTCAGAGAGTGGGGATTCGAAAGCGGACATGCCATGAAGGAAGTCATGGACGGGCAGGCCTGCGCCTGACGCCGCCCATGCGCCGTGTCCGTCCATGGTGGCGGTATTGTCGTCCACCTCGTAAAAGTAGTCGTTGCTGCTTGCGCTGGGAGATGCGAAAGCCATGTTGTCGTTGTTGCTTGAAAATCAGAGTAGTGTTTGCTGCTCTGAAGATCCGTCTCTGTGCTGATTGCTGTGTGGTTCGTTTGGTTTGATAGCGGTTGGTTTGGTTGTGGTAGCGAGGCTCAAGACACCTTGTTTAGATGTCCAGACGAGAAGTTTTACGACGTACTCAGGTCACTTGCCAACCAACAGTCAAATACCAGAAAGAGTCGCAACAGCTCGTCAGCCAAAGAGAGGCAACGTCGTGGGGATCAACCGCCAGCTGGCTGTCTTCCCACAATCGTACTCTGCCAAGTTCATTTGCTTCGAAAAGCAACTGTCCTTGCCGTTCATGACAGCCAATGTCGAGACGACGTTGGCAGTCATGGAGCAATAGCCGGCGTAAATGGCGACTATATCGGCCATGGCGACAACCAGGGGCAGTGACAAGAGATGGCCGTATCGTTGATTGAGGCGCAAGCGCTCGATCAATTCGGGCCCAGAGAAAACATCGGAGTTGTTATCTCGGGTCGAGACGGGCTGTGTATCATCAGGATGAATCTGGTTGATATACTCGCAAGTCATGGTGCCGATCGATGTATCGAAGGCGCCGTCGTCCGTCTGGTGCTGTAACATGATGCCGTCATTCTCGAGGACATCCTGAGACTGCTGGAAATTCTGCATATCAGTATAGAGCTTGCGCTCTCCTTTGGCAGAGCCAATGAGCTGGGCGGGATCGAGAACGAGGTTGCTCGTGCCGAAGCATGTAATGAGAGCATGTTCTGTCCACTGTCGACGAAGCTGATGGAATTGTTCCAACGCTTCGCTTACCAGCACAGGGCTTCTCCGTTGAGCATGTATCTGCTGCTGCTGCTGCTGCTGCTGGAAGGGGTCAGTTAGAATTCTGGGTTGCTTTGCTGAAAATCAGCCGTAACATACCAGATTCTGCATCAAGGTCGGGATAGCGAACACGAATTGTGGACGGATTTCCAGGCCAGAGACACGTCGCTCCTCGCGACATGGAGAGGAGTGACATGGGAAGGGCTCGAGGGGCAATTGACGCTCCGAGTCTGTCTCCTGAGGTCGGCGCTTGGCCTTTCGTCTCTGGAACTGCTGGACTTCAGCGGGAGTGACAGTCGGCGCCGACTGGATTAGATTCATCCCATGGAATCCACCGCTGGTCGACCAGAGTGCGAGATTCGGCACAGGGAGGTCGAAAGCTCCTAGCGTCGCAGTCTGGTCGGGGGTCACGGTCCGCTCGGCGAGATGGCTGTGGACGTGTCGGAGCCTATCCATAAAGGAGGCGTGAGATTGCTCGATAGATTCGAGCAAGTCCTGATATCCATTGTGACGAATTTCCATCGATGCGTCAGGATAGAGGCCTGGGAATTGATTGTATGCCTGTGATGTAAGTGTGAGAAGCTGCACGATAGTGGTCACTGCCGATAGATGGCTTACGATGCGAACAATGCAAGACGCGTGGGCGGGATTGGTGGAGTGGTAGTTGTGTCAATGATGCACAGTCATGGGGGATTGAGCAGTTCCGACGAATTGATCTAGAAAGATGACTGGGGCTCGGGTCGAGCGATCGGTGCTCTGTGTATCCAGAATGTCTTGACGACTTGAAAATGAGGTGAGGGGGCGAAGTTGAGAAGGTGAAGGTGACGAGAGTAGAAGAGTTGAGGTTTCGAGATTCAATGAGCGAGTCGAGGGCGGGTGCCTGGCTCTAAAATGATCACGACGACAGGTGCAGATGGCCGTGATTGGCTGCCTTGCAATTGGATGCCTTCGCCTGCCTCTGTCTTCGAGGTGGAGTCTGGGGATGCGGCGAAGCTGTGGAGGGCCAGTCAGAAGCGCCCGTAGGAGCGGCACAGCCTGCGCTAAAGTGAGGCCAAAATCGGTACCTGTAAACACGCTGAAAACGAGCACTGCCAAAAGGTCTCTCTGCGAGGCGTTCACGGCGGCCTGCCCCGCTTCGATTTGGCCTCTTTTTTCGGCAGGCCCAGCCAAGGGAGTCATCCGGGCCGCGAGTGGATCATGACACTGAGGACTCATTTTCCATTTTGCATTTCATTGATCTCGCCTGCTTCTTGCAATGCCGATCATGACCTCTCTGCAGTGCGATTTGACACCTCGGCGCAAAGACAATTGAGTTGGACTCGATGTCTGAGCAGAGTAGGCCCCCTGCAGGAAAGAAGAGTCGACTTAGGTAAGCATCCCGGGAAAGTGCCTTACGACGCGCAGTGGGCACACAACCCCTTACGAGGCATCCATAGCGCCTTTCCCCTCCTCGCGTCTTCCGCCGTCAGCCTCCACCAACAAACACAGCCTCCGCCATCCAACGGAACCATTGACAGCCATCGAGAACCTTGAGTCGCTTTCCCAGGTCCATCGCCTGCCACGACTAGGTACCAATGAAGTCGATATTGGCCTGATGCAGCGAGAAGAGGGGATCGCCAGGTGATGCATACAGGTCACCTTTATGCGTCAGCACGCGTCGCCCTTGATCAAATGAGGCTGGCCAAGCAGGCAAGCACGCACTCTCTTGACCCAGAAAGAATGCAGAACTACAGCACTCCCCGAAGATTCCCCCAGACGCCTTCGTGACCACCGCCGTGGATGTTCGACGCGTCAAAACTCGGTCCCCCATCACGCGCGTGAGCGAGCCAAAGCCGTCCTATTTTAGCGTCAATTTGATCTGGTCCCAGCCCAGATATCTCACAGGAAACGATGACGCCAGACCTCGCCCAAGGCACTGCGATCCTCGCGCCTTTGGCACCGGCAGTCTAGACCATCGGGCGTCTCCTGCAATTCCTTGACCACACTCGACCAATCTATGGTGCAACCAGAGTCTCGCTGCTTTTAGGCAGAGCAACCCAGCGTCACGGCCCGGAAAGCATAACTCAGCCCTATGTGCACAAATCCCACCGTTGAAGACGTTCCTCATGCATGGGATCCGTCTCGTGGTGCGCAGTCGGGGCAAACTGTGCCAGCACGCCAAGGCCGACATGCTTCTCTAGCACTGTACAATGAGCCTTAAGAGGCGTCATGCTTATGATCAGAAGCTACAGAGATCCAAGAAGGCAACCATACGGATCAAATCACTGCTGTCATCGGGGTTAATGGATGCTCAGCCAGGTCAGCCGCAGTATCAATCGACCAATGAAACCCATTCAGGCCAACGCCTTCGCCCAGCTTCCGTGAGCCACGGCGCACGACGGCAAGCTTTGAACCTGGAGGTTGTAACAGGTACTTGCGGACTAACCTACGCTTTCTCGCTTACTGTAACCGTGGACAGTGAAGGAGAGCAGAGAACGTTGCCCAAGTCCGGTTGTTGTGATGTGACAGGACGTCCGATACGGCGGCACGGACCGCGGTACACAGGTACCATCGTCACTTGGGATAGCTCACTGACTTGACACTAACAGCAGTTGCCAACCCCCCGACTGACATGACACCTCGTAGTATTAGTATGGCATAATGGTTCTGCACTCCTAACGTCACGTTCTCAGGTTCTTTGCGCCTACCTTTTCGAGTTTTTAGCTAAGCCAACCATGCTACCGGGAAACGTCGTGATCAGCACCCCGACCACCGCGAAACATGGCCGAGCAGACTGAAAACCAACAACAACCCCCCCAGCTCAGCATACGTGACACCCTCGTCTTGTCATGTCTGGGGGATGACGAGAGAATAAAGCTGGAAGAACATATCCTCAAGTCGGCCGACCTTGATGTTGCGGCAACCAAGGTTGACGATGAGACCATCGCCTCAAGAATCACGCTCATCCGCGGGTTTGCAGAGTGCGCACGCGGTGATGAGGCCATCGTGGCTGCTCTGGCCGCTGATTCTTCTCTTTCAAGCCTGCGCCAGGTTGCCGCACGCTTCAATGCCGCCGAGCTCTCTGCCCTTGTTGACCGAGGACCAGGAGTAGCAACCGCCAGCACGTCAGAGGCTCCCCAGGATGTTTCTGCCATCAAGCCAGCGGCACGTATCTTTAGGCAGAGAATTTTCGTGTTGGAACGCGATGCCGTGCTGCGTAAGATGGTGGACGACGGGGAGATTCCCATCGGGCTGAGAGATGATGACAACAAAGAAGAAGACGCCAATGTCAAGAGGCACATCATCGATGTCCTGCACACCCATCCCGACCTGTTTAGCAAGGTTCCTTTCTCTCTCACCGAGGGCGCATTGAAGGACATCAGCGAGGAAAATGGGACGCGGCAGAAGGTAGACACCACCATTCGAGCCATTCAGCGTGTTCAATCACTGTCAACGGCCCCGGCGGCCGTGGCAGCTATGCTGAAGGCTGGTTTTGGGTCCGCCCAGCAGATTGCTGCAGTGCCGGCTTCTCACTTTGTTCATGACATCGGCAATGCCATCACTGCGGACGACACAGCTCAAGGCAGCGCTGAAGAGGCCGCCCGCAATATCCACGCACAGGCGACAAACGTAGCTCTTCACGCCAACATGGCACTCGCGTCGACGCTTCAAATGGTACGCGGAACGGGCGTCCGCGCCATCGACGGGGCTGCATCTCGCGGGGACCGCATAGCTGCTGCAGAGTCCGTCACCGTCAGCGGCATGCGCAGCACTGTCAATCTCGAGCAGCTTTTCGGCACCATGGACTTTTGCGAATGTTCGGACTGCGCCTCGGTCACATCACCTGCAGCATACTTGGTCGACATTCTGCAGTTTCTCCGAAACAACAACCTGAAAGATGAGTACCGTCCCGGCTGGGAGGGTACCGCCCTCGAGATGCTCTTTCGCCGTCGGCCTGATCTTGCCGAAATCGAATTGACGTGCGCCAACACTAACACGGTACTGCCCTACATCGACCTCAGCAACGAAGTCATGGAATCCTTTGTCTGCCATCTCGGCAAGTTCATTGAAGACAACCACCAGCCAAAGCAAGTGACGCTTGATGCCTTCAACATTGACGAGGACGATGTCAGCAGCGCCCTCTTATCCCAGCCGGCCAACGTCAATTACGCTGCGTACTGCAAGCTCAAGGACGCCGTATATCCCTTCACGCTGCCGTATCATCAGCCGCTGGACGAGATCCGAATCCTTCTGGGTCACCTTGGTACGTCAAGGCACGAGTTGCTCAATATTTTTCGGCCGACGCAACGCACCGGTGACCCGAGACGTGACGAATGGGGGAGACAAGCCCACGAGCGGGCTTACGTGGCAGAGTATCTCCTTCTGTCGCAGCAGGACTTCCGAGTTCTGACTCGTCAGGTGTTTTATCCGAAGGAGTACTTTGAGTACATTATCTCGCCAGGCACACGCATCAGCGACGAAGAGTACGAGGCACGCATTCAGGTTGAACCAGCTTATCGGTGCTGGGGCTATGTCAACGGAGACCACGAAATGCTGTCGACCGTCGAGGAGCACGAGCTTGGCCTTGCTTTCGTGAAGAAGCAGTTCCTGCCGCGATCAGGAATCAAGTATACAGATCTGGTTGACCTCCTCCGTACAACATACATTAACCCAAACTACCCCTCCGGCTGGGCCCTACTCCTGCTCCACCGCCTCCGATGGAGCTACCGCTATCTCGTTACGCTTCTCGGCCCCATAGGCAGCCCTGGGCGTTACGACAAGTTGATCGCCTTCCTCATCAGGTTCCAGCCGCTCGCTGAGCTCTTCGGCAAACTTCGCCAGAAGTACATCGACGATCTCGGCCGTGCGGACCAGGGCAAGAATGCGGAGGCACTCGAAGAGCTGGCCAAGCGACTCGGATATCCTCCATGTTCTTGTGACGACGGAGCCATCTGGCGATGCTGGGTACTGCGGTACTTCGATCTTGTTGGCGACCTCATCGTACTGGATTCGAGGGACGGTGGTGTGTTCGAGACGGAAGGTTGGCTGGTGCTGCAGCGAGAGGTCCCGCAGCTTGGGTTTGTTGGCTCAGCAGCAGAGGTAATCAGCGGCCGGGATGACAATGTGGACAGGGATATCGGATACCTCCATCGCGACGGCCGCATCACCTCTACGGCTGTTGACGGCACCCTGACTCTGGTTGGTCGCATCGATGAGACTGGTGCAGCTGTCGATGTAGACGGCGTGTTCTTCCACATCAAGTACGGACTCGACTGGCAGTTGCGCATGCAGCTGTGGAATATTGAGCGAACTAGGGCTTTCGGCGAGATCGACAATCAAAGTAGCAATGTGTACGTCTGGAATTGGGAGCGGGCTGCATCATGGGGTCCAATCCAGGACACTTGCAACATCGAAAACGTACGGCTCATTCGCCTGAACGGCGAGGCGCTGCGAATTGACGACTGCGATCGCATTCACCGCTTCATTCGTTTGTGGCGTCGGCTGGACTGGTCCATAGATGACCTCGACCAGGCTCTTTTAGGGCTTGCCACTGTACCGGAAAGTAGCAGTGATGGCGGTGGCTCTGATACTCCGAGTTCCAACCCCGGAAGGACGATCACCTGGGAAGATTTCCACGATCGCTGTCAGGGGTCAGGGAATGGTGGAGGCGGCGATCGAGGGCAATGCCCACTACATGAAGGAGAGGACTGGACGCCGCCGGCGCTTGCGTCCATCTCACCCGGCTTCCTTGGACAAGTCGTTGCCCTCAAGAAGCTGCTGGACCTGACTGGCCTCGGTCTGGCTGAGCTCCTGACGTTTTGGGCAGACATATCAGTACACGGCCAACCCAAGTCGCTTTATGCCAAGCTATTCTTGACGCATAATCTTCTTGGTATAGACCGTGTTTTTGCGGCTGATGCCAACGGCAACTATCTCAATTATGCTAGGCCTGAAAAGCTAGCAGCACACGCCGCCGTCGTCATGGCTGCGTTGCGGATTCGAACAGCCGATGACTTGAGGACGGCAACCAACCTTGCCGGTCTTCCTCAGGATGCAGATTTGACACTCAAAAGTGTGTCAAGCATTTACCGGCTCGTGTTGCTGGCTCGCGTACTGAGCGTCAAGCTGAGTCTGCTCCCAAGCGTCATAACACTGCTTGGTGACCCGTTTGGCGGCGGAGCAGTTCGCACGATCTCTTTCCTTGAAGACTGGGATCGGATATCGTCGTCTGGTTTCTCTCTGCATCAGCTGGTCTATGTCATAGAAGACGATGAGATTGAGCCAGTCCGACCCGTAGGTCCTTCCATTACCGATATTCTCAAGACGACTAAGCAGCTTGCCGACGGTCTGGACGCCATTCTTAAAACCTACCCAGACATAGACCAAACGGACCCAACAGTTGTACCATCGACAGCAGTCACCGCTGCCGCCTCGCAGGCATTCGACGCGACGACGGTCAGCACCCTTGCAGGTGTCATCGAAGGCTCCTGGGTCTGGCAAACAAACGCGCCAGTGGGTATGGCTATCTCGGTGCCAGTCTTGCTGAAAAAGAAGTTTTCATACTCGAGTCGATCAGGTGATGCATCCAACGCTCCATCAGCCACTGTTCAAATGACCGGAATCCTTACCGCCAGCGAGGCCGAGGATGCCAAATTCTTGGGACGAATGAATCCCCTCTGGGCACCCGCAATTGACCGACTGATGCGCAAGCCGGGGGCATGGTTTAACGACACTCTACGTGCGGTGTTCTCGGCGAACCTCGAAGAGGCCAAGGCAACCCTCCTGGCCGGTGACGTGCCTCCAACCACACCAGACCCTACTCAAGATGAATCTGTTCCAGTGCCTGATCCAGGATCCGCGCCAAGTAAACGGCTTTACTTCTTGGTCTCGTTCCTCCCGTTTCTTCGCGACAGACTCTCTGATAAAATGGTGTCTGATGTCATGATGTCAGTTTCGGGGCTATCCCCAGAGCTGACCCATCTGTTACTTGATAGCATCCTTCGGTCAGGAACAACATCGGCACTGGAAATTTTACGCAACCTAAAGTCAACTTCCTCTAATCCATCTGCAGACTGGACAGGCTACCTCATTCCACCTACGAACGACGAGTTCGTCTTCTTCTCTATTGCTGATACGCAGCCGTCAGCCATCATCCTCGACGGCGCGTCTGTGTCGTTTCCGCAGCCGCTCGACGACCCGAGCAATGTGTGGGTTTCAGAACCCGTCAAACTTACTGCTGGAAGGCTGTACTCTCTGACGGTCCCGGGCCGTCCAGCAACGCAGCTGCAGTGGAAATCAGCCCGGTCGCCGCGCGCTGGTATTCCGGCTTCGGCGCTACTCTCCGGCCAGGCCACCCAGATTGTGACTGACGTCTTCTCTAAGCTTGTCAAAGCTGGCATCGTTGTCAACATTTTCAGTTTGACAACGGCCGAGATCATCTTCTTGACAGACGCCGAGGCGCACTTCGACGGCTTCGACCTCAATTCGCTGTCGTTGCGTGCATGGAGACGGCTGTGTCAATTCAGCTCATTTCGAAATGGTCTTGCAGCGCCAGAGGCACCCTTAATTGCCCTTTTCAAATGGGCAAGCCTGCCCTCAGCCGGCGTCAATGGCCTCGTCGATAAGATCATTGCGTCTACGAGGTGGGATTCGCAGCGAGATTCGCTCACGGCCCTCTTGGCATCAGATCACTTTGACCTGTTGTCTCCCGCGAACTTCCTTGATGAGAGAGCCCTGATTCGGCTTCAAAAAGCCCTGGCCCTTGTCAAAAGTCTTGGTGTTGTGGATGTTCCCATGGTGTTCTCGTGGGCGGACCCGCTTGTCAAATTCTGGGTTGCGCGGACCATCGCCGACAACATACGCAAGGTCGTGCGCGCGCGGTATACAACAACAGACTGGGAGGCTGCGGTGCAGCCATTGTACAACACGTTACGTGAGAATCAGAAGAACGCACTCATCGCCTATTTGCTTGCGCAACAGGTTATACGCGATCAGGGCATTGCCGACGCCGACGGGCTTTTCGAATTCTTCCTCATTGGTGTGCAGATGTCGTCTTGCCTGCAGACGTCGCGCATAAAACAGGCCATCTCCAGTGTGCAGTTGTTCATACAGAGGTGCCTCTTGGGCTTAGAATTGCAGCCACGCATCAACAGTGTTGAGGGTGACCGACAAAAAGTCCCCGTGCGCATCGACGCTGTGCGCTGGAGTTGGATGGAGAAGTACCGTGTGTGGGAAGCCAACCGAAAGGTATTCCTGTATCCAGAGAACTGGCTAACAGGCGAGCTGCGGGATGATAAGAGCCCTTTCTACCGCGAGCTTGAGAGCGAGCTGCTGCAGAAAGATGTTGACTCTTCCACCGTCGCGGCGGCGTTTCGCAACTACCTGACCAAAGTGGACGATGTCGCCAACCTCGAGGCGCAAGGTCTGTTCCTTGAGCAGACCACCGACGTAAAGATCGTCCACATTGTAGCGCGCACACGCTGCGCTCCATACGCATACTACTACAGACGACTTGACGCAGCACATGTCATCTGGCAGCCGTGGGAAAGGATGACGGTTGACATACCCAACTACACGAGCGAGACAGCCGATGGCGTGGTACTGGAGAATGGCACCTATGTGACGCCCGTCGTATGGAACGGACGACTCCTCGTCTTCTTCCCGCAGTTTGCCAAGAAGACGGTCATGCCGCCAAAGGCTGCCGAGAAGTCAATGGTTGAGTTGGGTGATGAGAAACCATCAACGAACTTGCGGAGCATCGACTACTGGGAGATCAGACTGTGTTGCTCGGAGCGGCGACAGGGCGGCGAGTGGACAACCAAGATCATATCATCCGACGGTGTTTATGAGACGGTCAAAAACTATGCTAACTACAGTCTTCCAAACCTCAACGGCTACCTGTTTGTTCCACGGCTCGAGGCAGTGCCGGATGGCGGCGGAGGCACGAAATTATGTGTTGACGTTTTGAGTAACGTCACGTCTGAGAGCTCTGTAGCAGTGGGGTCGTTCGACTTTGTCAACGGCCGACTTCTCAAATCCTCGGATGGGTCAATCACAGCCAGCTTGAGATTGGACACGGGCACGCCAGCGTTCGGCTACTGGAGCGGTCGGAAAGAATTACACAGCTTGCAGGCGTCGACTGCGACGGACAACCCCGAGTTCTACAAGACGCCACCGTATGTCGAGTACCCCGACTCTGTGGTGCGTCCACGGGTCAGAGTCTACTGGACCAACTCGGCATCGGCCGTCTTTTCGCACCAATTCGTGCACAAGTTGCTCGGTGCGATGGCCGTATCGGACAAGCTGTCGACCGTGTTTGATCTCTACGCACGGCTCGAGGATTCTCATCTAGGGGACGCCTTTGGCGACAACAGGGAGTCGAGGTATCACGAACTTAAGAAGCCCTACGCCATCTACAATTGGGAGCTGGGACTACATGCGCCTCTGGCCGTCATGGACAAGCTCGTTCAGCAACGGCAGTTTGATCAGGCTTTGGACCTCTGCCATGCCGCCATTTTCAACCCCATGGTCAATACCAACGATGTGTCCAAGTGCTGGCAGTTCCGCCCATTCCAAGAAATCGTGGCTAAAGATTATCTCGAGAACTTCATGCAATCTCTCGTTCCTAACGAAGAGAACACACAGGTCACTGAGTGGCGAGACAACCCATTTGCGCCACACGTCGTGGCCAGATCGCGGCCGGTGGCTTACATGAAAGCCGTCGTGATGAAGTACATCGACACATTGGTGCAGTACGGCGATTTCTACTTTCGCCAAAACACGCTCGAGACATTACCTCTGGCCATCCAAATGTACGTGAGAGCGAGCCATGTGTACGGACCGGCCGGCCAACGCATCCCAAAGCGCGGCAAAACAGAGCCGCACACTTACCGGCGCCTCCTTGAGCGGTTCGACGCCTTCGGTAACGCTGCTGTCGACCTCGAGCTCGAGTTCCCCTTCAGCAACCAGGTAACGCGACAATTTCCTGTCGGCTTCACTGGCCGTCCTGATACGCCTGTCGACCTGCCCAACGTGTTCGGCTCGGCTACGACGCAGTACTTCTGCATACCGGACAACCCGCAGCTCCGGGCTGTCAGGGCCACGATTGATGACCGTCTCTTCAAGCTACGCCACTGTCAGGATATCAACGGTGTTGTGCAGCGGCTGCCATTGTTCGAACCACCCATCGATCCTGGCCTGTTGGTCCGAGCGACTGCGGCTGGTGTCAGCATTGCCAGTGTTCTCAACGATTTGAACAGCCCCATGTCCAACTATCGCTTTCTATATCTTGTGCAGAAGGCGCACGAGGTGTGTGGCGAGCTGAGGCAGTTTGTGGCCGGCTTCCTGGCCGCCAAGGAGAAGCAGGACGGTGAGGCGCTGGCTTCCCTAAGACAGCGCCACGAGGTGACGATCAGTGAGCTTCTCATGGGTATCAAAAAAGCCCAGGTTGACGAGGCCAGCTTATCCCTTGACTCTCTACGGCAAACCCGCCTCGGTCCAGTCTACCGTATGAGACACTATCTATCCCAGCTCGGCGAAGATGTCTCGAAAGTGCCAACTGATGTCAAGAGCCCTTTCGCCGAGATTGAGCTGTCGCAGGAGAAGCTCGTAGCTGATACAGGGCTTCGGTTGATCCCCTCGGAGAAGGAGGAGCAGGACAGATCAACAGTATCACGCAAGGTCAACATCAGCGTTGGTGCGACCGAAGCCTTGAGTACTGTGTTCCTGGCGCTGCCCAGCACCAATGTTCACGGCACGCCGCTCGGCATTGGAGCGGCCGTCAAGTGGGGCTTCCCGCAGCTCGGTCATGGACTTGGTGCTGTCGCACGAGGGCTCCGGGCCTGGTCTGATCATGAGGCAGCCCAGGCATCCATGGCTGGCCGTAGGACGGGCTTGCTTCGGGCCATGCAAGATCGTGTACAGATGGCCAATTCGGCTGGGTACGAAGTTAAGGCCATTGACAGCCAGATCTTGACACAACAAGTGAAGCTGGCACTGGCCGAGCGCGATGTCTCCAATCACCAGCAGTCTATTGACAATGCGCGGGAGACCGCCGACTTCCTAGCGACCAAGTACACCAACGCTCAATTGTACTCGCACTTGGAAGCCTCCAGCCGCCGGCTCGCCTATGAGGCTTACACGCTGGCGTACGACCTGGCGAGACGCGCCGAGCGGACTTTCCACTTTGAGCGGCCAGCCGAAATTTCCCGCTCATATATTTCGTTCGGTTACTGGGACCCTGCGCGCGATGGACTTCTCGCCGGCGAAGCCTTGGCGCTTTCGCTGCGCCGTCTTGAAGCCGCCTATCAAGACCGCCGCGGCCATGATTTTGAGGTGACAAGGTCCATTTCTTTACGACTTTTGGCGCCGCTTGAGCTCGTGCGCCTTCGCGAGACAGCCCGCTGCGAGTTTGCCCTGCCTGAGACGCTTTTCGACATGGACTTCCCGGGCCACTACATGCGACGCGTTCGGTCTATTGCACTTTCGATTCCTTGCGTCGTCGGCCCGCATGTAGGCGTCAACGCTACGCTTCGTCTGCTCGAGAACAAGATGCGAACCTCACCTCTGGCTGCTGACGCCAATGCGTACCCTGAAACCCCTGGTGATGACGGGCTGGACCAACGCTTCACCACCTCCTCCGTACCCATCACGGCCATTGCTGCATCCTCTGCCCAGACTGATCCTGGTGTCTTCGAGCTGTCGATGAAGGACGAGCGTTTCCTTCCCTTGAGGGCGCCGGCGTCATTTCTCGTTGGCGCCTGACACTTCCATCGCCTGCCGGCCCAGCATCCTTGGCCTTGCGGCCCTTTGACTATGGCACTATCACGGATGTCATCCTTCAGGTCAGATACACTTCGCTTGACGGCGGTGACAAACTTCAGGCTGCCGCGTCGGGAGCCATTCGGTCATTCGTTCAGGACGTCGAGGACGACTCGTCCGAGGCGGGCGGCGGCCTCTACACCATTATGGACCTACGCGCCGAGTTCGCGACCGAGTGGTACCGCTTCGCCATGGCTGCCTCACCCCCAGACGCAGACCGCACCATTTTGCTGCGCGATGTCGCCAGCCGACTTTCATATGTCGCGCGCGGCGCGTCCAAGCTCACGGCGTCGAGCGTATCACTTTACTCGACGGCGGAAATCCCTGCGACGGCATTGAGGCTTGCAAGAGCTGGCTCCGATGCTGACATCGTTCCGTTCACTGAGGCCGCAAAGCTTGGTAGGCTTTTCGCGTACTCGGCCTCTACTGACGGACTTGACATTAGCGGTGACTGGATCCTCACACTCAAGGCCCACGAAGGTGCCGACGTTAGCCTTGATGGGGCGCGGCAGGGGATGTGGCTTGTTCTTCGGTATCGCATGCAGCTGTGAGACTGTTCTCTGTTGAGATGCTGCTAACGTGAAGTTTCCCAATTCTTCTATTGTCCTGCTTTTCCTGCACCTTTTGGTTTACTTTACGAGCCCACGACTTTTCTTTCCCTCTACCAAGTTGGCATCACTTTCTTATCTTTAATTTTGCGCTTTTGGTATGCTACTCTGAGGGTCCGTCCCTTAGGAGCAGCAGACAGATATTGAATCAAAT